TCAAAGTATTTCGAACCATTTCAAAGCCAAAAATTCCAGATTGCTCAGGGAACCGATTCCCCCCCCCAAGGGGGTACCGATTCCCCTGAAGGTTTGGCTCCGAGATTTCCAAATGCTCGGAGGGAACCGATTCCCCCATAGGGGTACCAATTCCCCCCTGTTCAACGGTCGAAATATTTGAATTTTACACTTAGGGAACCGATTCCCCATAGGGGTACCGATTCCCCCTACGCTCCAAGTTGTTTTATTAATTGTTTTCACACTAAAACGGCTATATTATCTTCATTAATTATCCCCAACGTTCAAGTGATTCAGGTGTATTTAAACAAGTTCTGAAGCTCTTGATCAACAAGAAATTATAGAGAAACAAGAGAGAAAGCATCAAACACCAAGTTTGTACAAATCAAGCCATTTTTCCTTTCAATATTCATTTTGCTTTCAAGAACACCAATTGTGCTCATTTGTAATTATCTTTGAGTGTTCTTTTCTTGTTCTAGAATTGTGCAAACATCTTACCTTGTGAGGTTTTCTTGTAAGTTTGCAAATTTGTAATCTTCTCTTTGGGAAAAAGAGTGTTCTCAAGAGTTGGGGTATACTCTTGAGGGTTTTGTAAGGTTTCTCTTTGGCCTCAAAAGAAAGAACAAATTAGTGAATTTGTTGGAAAATCCTTAGTGTGGATAGCTAAGGTAGTGGACGTAGACTTTGTTTGAGAAAGTCGAACCACTGTAAATCGATGTGCAATTACTTTCAATTTTTCTACAAAAGCTTCCACGAAATTTTAATTGCCAATTCACCCCCCTCTTGACCGATTCCATCGATCGATTAACTCAACACAATTTAAACAAATCAAATTTTCCTTCTTTTTCTTTTTGCTCGAACAAAGGGTCTATTTTTTTCTCTTTTTTCTGTTGTTCGAAACAAAGAACAATGTACTATTTTTTTACGAAACTATTTTTTTCATTTCCTTTTTTCTTTTTCTTTTTTCTTCGTGGGACAAGAATGATATAAGATCTCACGTCTCGACAAGGGTGTAAAAAGATAGGGGGGGGAAAAGAAAGACTTCGGGTTTAATTTTGTCAGTTGAAAATCAAACAAATGGAAATAAGCTCAAATGTGGTTTACTAAGGGATAAATTAAATGGTATGATTTTTGGGTAATTAAAGAGTTAATCCTAAATACCTCTATCATACTAAAAACATCAAATTCAAGCATGTAATCTCAAGTAGTATTTCACCATAAGTTCTAGAATGCTAAAAACAAGTTTGGTACACACAAAGAAACAGAGAGCAAGAATGAAACATGTATGCTCAATTAGCTCAATCCACACAAAATTGGCTCTATGTATCATTTTATCATCAATTCAACCAATAAACCATGGAATGTCAAAATTTTCATAAAAAATCACTAGTTAGCCAATTAACTATCATGCATCCACTGTTCAACTCAAAGCAATATTAAAGAATTTATCGGAAAAGATTAAAGTAATCAAATAAATACAAGAATATGCAACAAACAACTCAACATATCAAGATCAAAATATCTTAAGTTCAACTATTCGACAAGCGAGGCGAAATTCAACATGCAGTCTCTCCCCCTCACTTAAACCATTTTATCTTAAAATGTAAACTAAAATATAAAGAAAAAGAGAGGGAAAATGAATACTCCCCGATCTAGTAGCGACCGTGGCCGTGGCTACGTCGAGATGAACTGTTGTAGAGTAGAATGTTCGATCGAGAAGCCACCAGAAGATATATTAAAATTTTATGCAAAACAAAAATCAAGAAAAGAATATATCATTCTAAGATTTTATTCTAAAGGAAGTAGACTTGAGAAAAGAACTCAATCAAGCTTTATCATTTTCTCTTTTTTTTTCTTTTTTTTCTCTCACTGTTTGAACCAAAATTGTATTGCTAATTTTTTACTATTCGAATAGTGCACTATTTTTCCGCTCATTCAAATCTGTGTTAATTTTTTACAATATTTTGTTCGAACTTTTCTGCATTGTTTTTTTCCTGCATTGAGTTGTTCGAATCTACTGCGTATTTTTCTGCATTGTTTGAACTAAATCAATTTTTTCTGCACTGTTCAAACAGTGTATTTTGAAATTCTGCTTCCTTTTTTTCCCGGAATGATTCTTCCTTTATTCGCTGCCGCACGATCTCTTCAAGCCTTGGGGTCGGGTTTTCGCCATTTTTTTGGCTTTCGGTTTGAACAATTCTTGATTTCATCTTGCTTAAAATTCAAGTATGAATAACGAGGTACCTGAAAATTCAAAGAAAAATAAAAATAAATTAACAAAATAAAATAAAATTGAAAATAAAAATAAAAATAAAAATAAAAATTGAACAAACAGAAAATAAAAATAAAAATAGACTGCTCCCATAAAGCACTATTTTTAATGTCGTTAGCTCGACGATTAGATTCAGACTATAGGTTCTGAGATAGATGTTTCCTCCACTTTCTGGTCATAGATTAAAACGAGAAAAATAAATCAATCAATAATATGTCGTTAGTCCTCGGTAACGGCGCCAATTTAACGTGATCATTTTTCACGTCAAAATAATTCATTATTTTCAATTAATAAATAATGAAAATTTAATGTAGTAAAAGAGAAATAAGAGTTGATTCCATAGAGACTAAGGAAACTTCTTTATTTATTCGTGCTTTATTTAATGTTTGAGGCAAGAAGTAGATAGAGTAAAATTTGAGTAACGGTGAGAATTTATAGATGAAGAGAAAAAAAAATAGAAGAATAAAAAATATTTAAAATAAGATTAAAAAGAAATTTAAAAGGAAAATTTAATATAGTAAAATCAACCTTAGATATTCGTTTTGATTTAATTTCTTTTGAATCATCGAATTAATTTTTTTTTTTCGACTTTCACGTCGATTAATTTTATACGAGGGAGAAAGTTTAAAAGGTATTGTTGGAGTTTGTGAATATTAATTGGAGAGAAGGGAAGGGTGGCAACTGTGAAATACATGCCAACCTGGTCCTGGCCCTGGCCCTGGCCCTGCTGAGATTTGCAGGTCGTAATTCAATGAAGCGAATTTTCAAGAGACAGCAACCTGTCTGCTTTGTATTGCAGGGTCAGCCGGTAGCTCAAAAGAGTTTTGGGCCTTTCGAATCTTTTAATGGGCTCGTAATAATTGATAAGTCGCCCTCCCTGATCAACCTTGTTGGGTTCAATGTTCACATAAATTCTGGTCCAAAACCATTGGCTGAGCTACCCAAAACAATTACTAGGCCGTTTCCACACTACAAATGGCAAAAGGAGGAGGACCAAAAGACATGATTTTTTTCCACTCACTAGCTGTTGCCAAACATAGGAAGCAAACTATTAGGGTGTTACAAGATCATCAAGGGCATAAGCTGTTAAGGGTATTGTTTCTGGTGCTTCTGTTCAGTTACGAAAGGAGCTTTTTGGTAACCGATGCGATTAAAGATATCAAGGGTGATATTTTTGGACAACAAAAAGATAAATCTGGACATACAGCACTGCTTTTGAAATCAGCTTGCCAATTGTGAGGTAGGGGTACTTGATACACAATTCGAAAAACTCGCAAATAATTCAAAAAAATGACATATTAAAATTTTAATTTTTTAAATCAAATAATATATATATATATATATATATATATGGTTTCATGTACTTAAGATTAATATTTAAGTTTGAATTTGAACTTCAATCGAATTAAGCCTAAGAATATTTCGAGTTTAAATTTTTGAAGCTCGAGTCGAGCTTAAACTTTTGATTTCGAGTCAAGTTTGAAATTTTAAGTTCATGAGCTTTCGATTCGAGCTTTAATTTTTTACTTCGAGTTTGAGTCGAACTTGATAATTTTAAACTTATAAATTTTTCAAATTGAGTAAAATTCAATTTTATATTTTTTAAATCAAATAAAACTCAACGATACTCGAGTTTAACTCCCCTAGTTTACATATAGTCTTAATTAAGGGCAGGAAAAAAAGAGGAGTTTTTCTATTAATAGCGTACTGCTGTTCATAAGCCTTGAAATGCTGCACGTACTGAACACAGCCTGTCCCCAATGAAGTTGTCCACCTACACAAGTCTAACCATCTAGATCCTCATGAATTAGTCAAATTGTAGTTTTCCAGCGCACGTTTGTATAATAGAGTATACAAATTTTTTTAATCCAACGTCGGTCAAGTAAACGAGCCAAATTAGATCATTTTTTTACCCCCAAGGAAAAAAATCATATATTAATAATCTTCGAAAAAAAATTATTAAAAGTCATTACTTAAAAAACCTGGCAATATAGCTTAGAAGATTAAGCACCAAAATGAGAAAGTAACTACTTAACTGTTCACATTAACTAATCCGATTCCTTAAGGTTCACATGATCATCACTATGCCGCCGTTCCAAGAAAGCTGAAGCCAGTAGTCTTGGACATTTCAAATTATTGGTTTGAGCATTAATGGAAGTCATGTTCAAAACACGAGCAAATGAGCTGTAATAACTTTTTGTTTATCTTTGTAAGGTCTATTGCATCGCTCTCTTTCACTATGTTATGGTAACAGGCAACCAATATGAGAACTGCATTTCAACTAAACTAAAGCTTTCATTCAAGTTATTTCCCATTTAATTTCGGGTCCATCAAATCTTTCAAAGTACGATAAATGATGACATTCGTGATGTAGAAAAAGGAAGAGAAATCCCATCTGTTTATCTATTCTTAATAAACAAATATACGTCCATGTCAACTTCTGCTTCACGGAAAATTCAACAAACGGTGGCCCTCGTGGTGGGTCACCATGACAAGTTTTATATAGCGATCTTCTTTATCCAATAAACCAGTATAGAAATAAACAAACCTTTCCCCCCCGTGGGATTGAAGAATCAAATAGTGAAAATTCAGTCAATGAATTCGCTTGGTATTAGAAGGCGGCTGCTTGGTAAGAAAAACTATACTTCCTGCTCTTTCTAGACCCTTTCCTCCTCGTCCTCTACTTTTTGTATATATACTTTATCATTTACGACCTTTTGGTTGTCAGTCTACCGCCTAAAATTTTGACTGTCAATCATACAGGGGGCTTTAGAAAGGGAAAAAGGAAATGGAAGTGGTGATACCAGTTATGGATTTTGATTTCAACAGCGCTAGATCATCTCCTCGTTCAACTGCTCCTTCTACACCTACAGGAGCCGGTGGTGGCTGCTTCTTCAGTGCTCCGAATAGTCCCACGAGACTGTCCGATTTTTATCGAGAATTTGACAGATTTTCCTTGATGGGTGACTGGCAAAGCAGCAGAAGAAACAATTCTTTGGCGATTCCTTTTGATTGGGAAGAGAAACCAGGTACACCGAAATCACCAAGAGGAACAAGAAATGAGAAGGAGGTGGAGGAGGTTGCAGATGATTTTGCTTTTGATTTTAGCGAGGCCTTGGAGAAAACATCTCTTTCAGCTGAAGATCTGTTTGATGGAGGGAAAATCAAGCCCTTGAAGCCACCACCTCGGTTACAGGTGGAAGAGTATAACCAGAAAAGCCCACTTTTATCATCCCCACGCTCGCCGAAATCACCGTTTTCCCAAGGCAGAAAGTTCATCCGTGAAGCTTTTTCACCGAGAAAGAAAAGGGAACATGACCCTTTTGCAACTGCTATTCAAACCAGTCGAAATCAAACAGATGACCTCAGAAGAGGAAGAGAAAGAGTTCAAGATTTAAATCAAACAGATGACCACAGAAGAGGAAGAGAAAGAGTTCAAGATTTATCCAAGAATTCAAGCCGTAGAGCAACAAGATCACTTTCGCCTTACAGAGTCTCGGCGTATCCCTGGGAAGAAGAAGAGAAACAAAAGCAAAACGAAAGCACCGCTAACAAGCCATTGCCATTGAATTCGAAGCCTTCGCTTTCTTCAAACAAAGGCTCTTCCAGAAAATGGAGATTAAGAGATATCTTCTTGTTTAGAAGTGCATCCGAGGGACATGCAACAGATAAAGACCGATTCAGGAAGTACTCGTCAAGCTTTTTCAAGAAACCCGAAGATAACAAGAAATCAAGCTTGAAATCCAGGGAGAACTCTGGTTCGGGTGGATCTAGAAGGAAAGTGTCAGCTCATGAGCTGCATTACACAGCGAACAAAGCAGTATCTGAGAACATGAAGAAGAGGACTTTCTTGCCATACAAACAAGGTATTTTGGGAAGATTCGCGTTCATTCCTTTTTCCAGTTGATTCTAAACACATAGGAGTTCGTCGACTGTTAATTAATATAGCAAGTGATTCATTTGTTTGTTGTAAAGATTATACTTCAATCTGTTTGTACCTATAAAGTGCAGTATTCGTATGAAGAACCAATCATTGGTGATTTGTGATCAATATAATTTTTGTTTGGCCATCTCATCACAACTTCAATTAAAATATCCACCGCCGTTTGAATTCTCCGATACCATATAATAAAACAATATATATATATATATGCTATCAAGGCGTGTGTATCTAGGGATGTACATAGATCCGAATCCGACAGATTTCGATTCGATCTGGTTGGGTCAGATTTTTTTTAAAATGTAGTGTTCAGGTCGAGTTGGGTTCATGTTTAGGGTGAAAAATACCCGACATGACCAAAAAAAAAATATAATTTTACCTTATATATTCAGAAATAATTATAATAATATTTCTCTATATATTATTATTTTTAATTAAATCATTGTTTTTATTGACTAAAAATAATATTTTATTATTATTTCGGACCGGTCGGACTAAGTTAAGATTTTATTTTAAAAAATCGGGTCAAATTCTAATCGGGTAGAGGAGTCATTGTTCTCGAATCGAATCGGGTGGACCAAAAATCCGACCCGACTCCCATCCCTATGTGTACCATCCTCATATAAGCAACAATGATGGATAAGAGGAAAAAAAGAGTCGAACAAAAACCATGGTATGCTCTCTTACTACATAATAAAAATTTAAAAAATTTGACCAGAACTTCATTACTGACGTGTTCATATTTTATAAAAAATCATTATCTTATTTAATAATTTAAATTAAATATTATAATATATATATTTTTAATTTAACTCATTATATTTGTAATGTTAAAATCTATATTTTAAATTTTAATTAAAAAAATTAATATCTCATTTTATTATACTATAATCTTTTACTTACAATTTTATATTTTTCAACTAATCGTTAATATTAACAATCGATCCATTTAAATTTAATATTTTAATATAATTTATTTTATTTATAATATTAAGATTCTAACTTATTTTTAATAATATTTTACCTTTTATTATTATTATTATAATTATTATTTTATATATATATATATATATATATATATATATATAATAGATGAATGAACAGATTGAAATTATTATCAGACATCAAATTACTAATAAAATAATGGAGCAAGAGCCACACGTTACGTACAACTTGAAGCAACGTGAGATGGGACGACGGTCCCATGATTGGCAAAATAATTACAAACCAGAGCCAAGAGCAATGCATTTTCATTATAATCATTTTCGTATGGTTTGAGGTAAAGTTTTGTTTTTTTAACATCAATTAACTTTTTTTTATTTTTTAAGTGAATGATAATCATCTTTAATTATTATGATACTGACATGATAATTTATATTTACTAACATAGTAATCTACATATGAATAATAACTTGAAAGAGTGCTTTAATTAATATATTTTTTTAAATATGAGGGTTTAATTAATTTTTTTATAACCCTTCAAATAAAACATTAAAAAATTTAAATTATTAAAAATCATTTTAAAAATAATTATAAAGTATTAATAAAGTTGAACACTTTTATCGAAAAATTCTTTATTTGTCTTTAGTGAGCATGAGTCTATTATTATTCTTTCGACATTTTCAATAGAATGAACTATACATTAGAGTAACAATGAATTTTGGAATTATTCCTTAATTTTATAAATGATAAACAAAAGACAATAAAAAGTTAATAAAAATGTTTATTCTTTTAAAAAATATATCTTATTTTTTATTATTTTTAATATATATTTTAAATTTCTAAAACTTAAATATGCACAAAACTCTCCTGATTTGGATATACTCGTGTCAAACTTAATTGATTCAATCTGAACAAAAGAACAAAGAGGTAGAAATAAAATCACATAGGGGAGTTGGGAAAAAGTAACTGGGAGTCATTTTCAAATGATATATCTGGTTTTTTCACGCCCAAAACACAGCTCATCTATCATTTCAGCTTAGCTTTATTCACAAGAGGTTTTTAAATTTTATTTTATGATTAATATTCCAACACAGTGTCAAGACTTGGACCATATTGTTGTAATAAGTCATTGGACCAACTCTAATCAATCTGGGGTCATTCACCAAAAGCAGATTTGTAACATATATCAATCTATAAATTTTGAGTTACTATCGGGTTTAGATACGGCAGTTTATTACAGTAGTTCATAACCATGGTTAGCCATTTGTTGAGATAAACGTACATAATTCTTATTATTTGACAACGACCTGTCTTGTTTTGACATGCTCCTAAACATAAGCGGTAAGTATTAAGTACTTTGTAAGGCAGCCATTAAGAGATCATGTTAGGAAGAATTAGAAAGCTTGATGTGCTACTTAAGGGGGGAATTCTGCAACTACCTGATTGATTGAGTTGCTTAAAATTCAAACGATGGGAGAAAAAAAAACTTTAGTTGTAAGCTAGGACGGAGTGCACTTCTAATACAAAGACATTAGCAATTATTACATTAAGAAATAAAAATGAAGGAATTCTCAAAAGGACAGTTGTGCTGCTGCCTGAAAGGCCTCTATCAAATGCGACCATGGTTCCCCATCACAACAAAGAAGGATAAAAGAAAAGTCGGTTCCATTGCCATGGATAAACAGTAGAGAAAGATTGAGCCTAATGCAGCTCAATAATTAGTGAGTTTGTGATGGGGTTGGGAAAAGCACAAATCAAGAGATGATGATGCCCTATTAATGATCAGAGATGCACACGCTAGAAAACCCAACACTACCCCTCTTTTTTGCCATCTTTTTAATCATCCCATTTCTTCCCCACAACTTGTGGTCCGACCTCCCTTTCTTATCGTATTCAAGTTCAACTCCCTCATCTTTTTCATCACTAAACTTGGTCACATCAAGCTTTAATCTCACTGTTTTATCCTTTTAGTCTCTCTTCTCCTCACTTCTCTTCCCTTCCCCACCTCAAAGATTCCAAGGACAATCAAATCCATGTGACTCGCCACCTGCCTAGCTCACTCCTTTTACTTTCTATGCCAGACCCCTCCTTATTTTTCCCTCTATGTAGTTCAACCCTTGCGGTTCAACTTAGAATAGCTTCCTTCTAGCTTCTTCATTTGGTTACTACTTCAAACAAAGTCCAACAATGCCAACGGTTCACTCTAGTCCGTATTTGCAAATGGACAATCCGGCAATACTGTCTTTGCTTCGGCCTACTCCCGGAGAGAAGCCCCGTAAGTCCAGTGGTGGTGGTCTCATGCGTATGTTCAACCGCTTCCCCATGTTAACCTCAGGCTGCAAGATGGTTGCACTGTTGGGTAGGCCTAGGAAGCCTTTACTCAAGGACAGTGCTACCACAGGTACGATTTTTGGCTACCGTAAAGGCAGAGTTTGCTTAGCAATACAGGATGATCCCCATTGCGTGCCCATGTTTGTCATCGAGCTACCGATGCTTGCCAGCTTGCTTCAAAAGGAAATGGCGTCTGATATGGTCAGAATAGCCCTGGAGAGTGAGACCCAGACTCACAAGAAGAAACTGCTGGAAGAGTTTGTGTGGGCGATCTACTGTAATGGAAGGAAAGTGGGTTACTCCATCAGGAGGAAACAATTGTCCGACGATGAACTTCACGTTATGCAGCTCTTGCGAGGCGTGTCGATGGGTGCCGGGTTTTCAATTGCTATTCAATGATGGAAAGAAACAGATCACCATGGCTATACTGTGTTGAACGTCCCATGGTTGAAGCTAGCTCATAGTTTTGCGGTAGATGCCAAAACCTTAATTAGCTGCTCTGTCACTTTCATGTAATTGAATGCCGATGTAATCTCCTGTTTCTGCCTTGAGAATAAGATTGAATGCCAGGTCCCCGTCGTCTCCAACTGCACAATGAACATATCTAATTCATTAATGACCAATTTTTTTTAATTCCTTATTCAACTGCTGCGAATTCTGCAGATAACTTTGTCAGAAATGAAAAGGTATATTAGGTTAGGTTTGATGGTTAATGTAATAGCTGGATTCTAAGCATTCACTTTCATAGGCATATATTCTTGCCAGCTCGCCCTTCATTTGCCAAACATATATGTTGAAATCTTCTGCCGACGATATTGTTTCACAATCTGTCAATTCTGAATTGATTTGATTATAAGTTGGAACAAATTTCAACAAGAAAATATTCAGTCCATTGAATTTACTATGTATATATATATAAGCAGCTGACAGCTATGAAAGGTGGGGCAGGGAGAAAGGAACTACCGCTACAACAGAATAATTAAGCAAAGACAATAAAGGAAATGAAACCTGATAAAACAAAGAAACTAGACAACAGTCAGATATTGAAAAAATCCCAACAAGAAAATGATCAGTCCTTTGAAATTACAACATGTCGTGAGTTTCTAAGAAATAAATGAATCATGCAACAACTTTTAATCGGTTTAGCTTGTGGAGTTGCAAACAAATTACACTATTAGTGTATCATTTAATAATTTATTGATATTATATTTGATAGAAATATTATTTATTTTTTTACACAAGTTAACAATAAATATTACTTTGAATAAACAACTTTTTGAGTCATTCAATTTTGTTTGTATCTTCATTTTGATCTCTCAATTTTAAAATTTACAAATCATGATCAATTTTCGAATTTTACTATTTTTTGTCTTTAAACCGTTGAATCTTCAATGTCAACATCAAAATTTGTAACTTCATGATCAACTTTGTTTGTATTTTTATTTTCGGTTCGATTTATTTTTGGTACAGGTTGATTTTAGTTTGTATCTATATCGGTCCATTTAAATATCGATCTAGTTTGATTCAATTCAATTTGTTTCAGATTTTAAATCAAATTTAGCCCATCATATTCGAATTGATATTAAATCATGAATTAGATAAATCGATTCGAATAATCTAGTTAAGACCAAGTTTATCAGCTCTATAAAAAAGTTTTAAGAGAATTCAAGTAAGTGTAAAAGTCCTTATATGGCTAGTTTGAAGTGGGGAAATTAAGAGTACATGTATGTATCTATTATTAATGCTTGAACCTGAATCGGACAATTTGGAGGCTACACCGGCCCATATATGGAGTATAGAGTATACCCAAAAGGGAACTGAAACCATCGCCTTATTGGACCTTACAAGATGACCAATGAGGGGGGGGAACCAGATCCAACACCATTTTTCATATGGATGCAAACAAATGTCTATCCATTTCACCCAAATACTTTAAACCCCTCAAAAATTGCTTTATACTGCATAAAGATTCTACAACGCTCATCGAGCATATAACTACGGTTAACGATAAACATCATTAAATTAATTTATAAAACGTTAAATTATAAAGAATAAAACATATAATTATAAATTAGTTAAAAATTCTAAATGTACTTTAATTAAAATACAATATTTATAAAACATTAGTTTTTATAATATTATTTTAATTATAATTAGATCAAATATTAATTTGAGAAATTTATAAACCCTAATTTCTTTTTATAGCTTTGAAGCCACTGATGCTGCTACTGTCATCGCCGCCACCGATATCATCTTTCGCCCTAGATTTAGTTTTTGTCGTTCGCCAGTGCTAAAAGATGATATCGGTGGAGATGGCGATAGAGACAACGGGAGCTTCAAATCTATGAAAATAAATTAAGGTTTATAAATTTCTCAAATTAATATGTAATCTATTTATAATTAAAATAATATTATAAAAAAAATATTTTATAAATATTTTATTTTAATTAAATTACATTTATATTTTTAACTAATTTATAATTATACGTCTAGTATTTTTATAATTTAATATTTTATAAATTAAATTAGTGATAATCATCGTTGACTGTGCTCATCTGTACTCATTGAGAGTGACATCATCATCTCATACTGAAGCAATAAATAATTAAATACAAGGATAGGTAATTGACTTCATCTTGATCCCACAAGGATGGTTAATACGATATTTAAAATAAAATTAAGTTTAATATTTTTAATTATATATTTTCTTTCTATATTTATAATTCAATGATAAATATATTAAAATATATTAAAAATAAATTAGACTTACACAATTAAAGTAAATATATAATTCTACTAATTCGTTCAATATTTTAGGAATTTATTTGACAAATTAAATGTTATAATATAATATAATATAATATTAGAATTTCATTTTATTTTCTTTTTAACTATATCTCAATAAACTATATTATAGATTTATATTTATTTCTATAAATTTATATATAAACATACATAAATTGATAATTAAAAATATTGTTAAAATTATTTTTAATAAATAATCTAAAATAAAATATTTAATTCAGTAATGTATGAGTTTATCTCGATGCAAATATTATGAATATATATATATATATATATATATATATATATATATATATATATATATATATATATATATATATATATGGGTAAAGTATATAAATGGTCATTGAATTTTTCAGGCGTCAAACATTTAATTTATTTACAATGTAGTCCTCAACGTACCCGGTCGTTTCACTGCCGCTAGAAGATGATGATGTGGCACGTGAGGAAACCGTTTGCAGCTGAATAAAACCTCAATTGAATCAGTCTAAAAATAGCAAACCCGATTTTGTTCCCCAAATTGAAACCTTAAACCCTAAAAAACAAAATTCCTCTTATTCTATTTGTTTGGTCAACAATTGCAAGCAACGGATACACCACCAAATGCAATCCCGACTTGTTTTTGTGGAATGTAAGCTATTTTACGCACAACTTGGACTAATAAGACTGATGGAAGGAGATTCTTTTGATGCGTTAATTATGGGCATTCTAGGAGAAATTGTAGTTTCTTTGTTTGGTATGATCTCCCATTGAATCCACATTCACGTACTATTATCGTTGGTTTGCTAAGGAAAATGAGAACCATGGAGAGAGGAAGAAGGCTTGAGTGAGTGATTTGGGTGGTTTGTTTGGGGATTTTGTTGTTGTTGTTGATTATGTTGGGGTTAATTGGTGGGGAAATTTAGCATTTAGGGTTATGTTTTAAGCATTTAGGGTTGTTACTTCAAGTTCAATTTGATATTGTAGATTTTGAGAATATATTATGAATTTGGGGTTGAGTATGTAATTGAAGTATTTTAGAATTTGGGGTTTAGAATGTAATTGATGATTGTATTGCAAATTTTAAAAGTTTGGGACCTAAATGCAAGTGCCTAAAAAGTTTAGTGATCATTTGTATACTTAACCCTATATATATATATATAAGAGATCAACCATGTAAGATGTAACCACTGGATTGAGCAGTACAAAAAGGACAAAACAGCCAATCTTACGTGGATTGAGCTAACCCAGCCGAACTCCAAAAAGGACCGAAAACCAACCGGCCGATGGATGGGAAGAAAATATGAATGGGCCCTCTTTGATACGGAATCAAGTGGCTCAGAATCTGTTTCATCACTTAAGAAAACAAATCTTATATAATATTCTCAATTTAGGTCCCACTAATACAACCTTCAGTTGCCAATTGTTACTGCTCTCTTTACTCGAGTGACGTACTTGAAACCACGGGCCGAGCCATGTCGACGAAAGTGACACCTTGAATTTTTTTCTTAAAGAATTATAAATTTTATATAAAAATATTTACAACAAAGTATACCTCACTTTAAAATTTCTTATACCATTTTTAAAAATTATAAATTATATTTTAAAAATTATAAATTATCTTTTAAATTCTTATCTAATTTAAATTTTTAGCTTGGTTATTATTAAAATATTAATTTTTTCTCATAAATTTTAATTAAAATAAGTTTAATACTATTTTTAAAAAAGAAATTATAAACAATTAAATACTACATAAAAAACTATTAACTTAGATACTTTAATTCATAAGTTCTAGTTTTTTTATTTAAAGTGTTTTTCTAATTTTTCTTTGAAATTACCGGGCTTAGATAGAGACCTAGTGTTGTCACCTGTTTTTATTTTATTTTTTCTTAATATTCTTTTGATTTAGTTATATATATCATTTCCGTTTTTATCTTTTTTGTGTATTACTAAAGTGTTTTTTTTAGAGAAAATAACTTCAGTGACCAAAAATCCCATATAATATACGATTTTAATCAACTTTTTTTCGGATTTGCCAAAATGACCAACAAAATCGCAATGCGATCGTTAATTCGCAATGCGATCGCTAATTCGCAACGCGATCTCCATTATCGCAAATCAGTTTTCAGATTCGCAACGCGATTATGACTATCGCAATGCGATTTTCCAATTTCGCGTTGCGATTTTCCCAATTCGCAATGCGAATAAGTAAATCGCAATGCGAATTTGGAAAATCGCAATGCGATACTGACTATCGCAATGCAATTTTCCTAATTCGCATTGCGGTTTACGTATTCGCGTTGCGATTTTCATAATTCGCATTTGCGAATTATGAAAATCGCAACGCGAATACGTAAATCGCAATGCGAATCTTACCATCGCAATGCGATTTACATAGCGCCATTCGTATTAACGCGTATTTTTTTTTCAAATTCCAAACACGAATTTTTTCTTAATAAATCGGAAACTGAACCGTCTACAGTAATCGCAACTCATAACCTCAAACCTAAAATCACAACACTCAGTCCCATCTCCATCTCTCACTCTCTACGGCGAAATCCGTCCCCATCTCCGAAGATTTCCGTCCCCATCGCCGGCGAAATCCCTCACAACCA